ATTGTGATGCTTTTTAAGGGTCAACAAATTGTAACAGCAGCTGCATGGGGGGGCCAAATAAAATATTTTGTCAGGGGGCCCATGGCGTCCCTGCTCCCCAGTGTTGCCTACTGACAGACGGGTAGAAAAGTTACAGACTTCTTTTGGTGACTGGCCATGATGTTAGATATTAAAGCAGCAAAACTTAGGCCATCGTGGAATTTAATAGTTTTGTTGCCAGCCTCTTTGTTATTTTTAGATCAGGCCTTCAAAGATGGGAGCCCAACTATAGACTGAACCATTTTACAACACAACTGGTTCAGTGTTGTAAAATAAGACACTTTTTGTCTTATTTTACACATTAAGATGTGTAAAATAAAACATCTGCTTCAATATTTCCAAGAACATTGTTGCCTGGAAAGTAAAACATAAATTCTGATGAATTGTTTAATAACAGATTTTCCTCCCTGTCTCCTCAGACTGAGTGGCTGTAACCTCTCAGAGAGCAGCTGTGAAGCTCTGTCCTCAGTTCTCAGCTCCCAGTCCTCCAGTCTCAGAGAACTGGACCTGAGTAACAACAACCTGCAGGATTCAGGAGTGAAGCTTCTCTCTGCTGGACTGAAGAGTCCAAACTGCAACCTGGAAACTCTCAGGTACAATGTTCTCAGTCTCATGTTACCTGCTACAAGATATTATGCAAATATAATTTCAATAGTAGTCCATTCATACATTTTCTTTACACCCTTGTCCCATAGTGGGGTCAGGACGGCTGCTGGTGCCCATCTCCAGCTACCGTTCCAGGCGAGAGGCGGGGTCATTTCAACAGTAGTGTATAATAATAATAGATGTCTGACTGTGATGCGGGTAATCATGCTATAACTTGTCACATAAACATGGCTGGTTGTCCTTTACTGCAGGCTCAATGAACTGAGACGTGGAGGTCAGGCTTCCATTGATAGTGTAACTCTGGATACTTGACAGATTGCTGCATCCTGGTGCACACAAGGAGAATCATTGGAAATCCTTCCTCCCAGCAGTTGTTAGACTTTATAATCCATTCTACATGTGACTAATGTTGATTTTTATGACCTACAGAACTGGAAGCTCTCAGGTATGGAGGAACCTGCTGTAGGAGCAGAGAAGGTCTGATAGAGGAAGAGGGAGAAATTACTTTAGTCAGTCTGATGGGAAACAATTAGTTTGTGTCATGGTGGGTTTGATACTCTTTGCCCACATGCAGAAACACCCGCGGAGAGACTAGTGAAAAGTCCAAAGGTTTATTAAACACAAAACTCAGTTAAACAGATTTGTCAGGTCCTCCTCCACGACAAAGGGATCCGGGTGCTACCGCTCACTGTATGAGAAAGAGATGATGAGTCTTGGGTGATGACAGGTGTACGGCTCAGGGAAAAATGAATCAGGAGATCTTACTGTAGATGGTGTAGATTGGGATAGGAGAGGGCAAAGTCAGGCATCAGGCGGTGGGTATTCAGAGAGTGTAGGAGGGCGGAACAGGTAAGTCCAGACAGCACAGATATTCTGGAGGTGGGAAACTCGAGATCTCCTGGAAAGCTCTGAAGGCGTCCTGGAAAAAGGATCACAGAGATACGTTAGGTCGCTAGAATACTCGAAGGAACAACTTTTTGAAACTCAGCGTGACTTCTGAGGGCTCGGTGTACCAGTCAAGGCAAACACTCTGGCGAAGACGTGCTGGCAGCCAGCTGCTTATATACACCTCCAGGAGAAGGCAATTCCCTACAGGTGCGTCTGATTAGGACCTGCCGGCATGCCTCCAGGAACCTGCTGTCATCTGGCGCCCTCTGGTGGATGATCTGTAAAGGAAAATGGCGGACCCACCAGCCTGGTACCTAACAGTTTGGAGCTAAATACAACCATGGCACTTATAAATGGATATCATTTTGAGCCCCTTTTGTCTCTTATGACAAGCTAAATAATAATTTTATTCTTGGTAATAATTTTCAAACGATTTTTGGTAATCAATGCAGACAGCTTTCTGCTCAATTTTACTGTTGTATCTTTGCCCCTGCCTGGAATTAAACCCAGGTCTCCTGAAAGTCAGGTGACTTACCCATTGAGCTATCCAGTCAGCATATAGCTGGGTAGCTGAACATCATGGCATGGAGTGCATCCCAGTTTTCCATGTCTGGCATATAACCATTCATTTTAGCTTTTAAACTGGTTATATTGATTCTGTGTCCAGACAGACGGATAACAAGTAGGCCTCGTCTGGGGGTCGGCAAGCCGCGGCTCTAGAACTGAACTCTTTGTTGAATGTGATGCAGCTTCTCCTTTTTAATGTTTGTATTTCTGGATATTCCAGTGAGGCCACAGCAGGTTTTCAGCAGCAGGTTGTTTAGTGTTTCATTCCTTCATCTGTGTGTGGGAGTGTGGATGGAGCAGGTATCCAGGTGTTGATCAGAGTTTAGATTGATTGGATTTTAATGCTGATTATTAAATCAGGTTGAGCTTCCAGAAATGTTTCCTTAGTTTCCCAATGTCCAGGGTTTCCTTTCTCCTCTCTGTTGGAGCTTTTCCTGTGTTTGGAGAAATGAGTTGTGCTGCAGCAGCACCAACTGTCCTTCCTACATCCACTGCAGTTTGCAATCCAGATGTTGGACTGTTCCTGTCTCAGTGGAGGACAATGTGTGTCTGAGAGACATGTAATGTCCATGTTTGCTGCTGAAAGAGACTGATGGTCTGACCCCCCTCCTCCTTTCAGGGTGGAGCCTGCTGGAGGCCCATTCTTGATATTAAATGACATCATAAAACAGATATTATTGGTACTGAAGTAACATGGCTGAGAGCAAATGCTGATTTTAGAGTAATTGAAGTGTTTAAGGAAGGACATGAGAAAATTAACATGAGGATGAGTAACATCTTGAAATGATGATCTACATTCAGTGAAACAAGTAGAGGAGTTGTTCCAGAATATATATAATGATGGGTATTTTTCTTGAACCTACATAAAAGAACCACAGACAACGTATATGAATTTTATGGTCAAGCTTTTGCAAAAGGAGAAGTCTCCATCAACATCTCCTCCGAGCTGCTGACAGAGAGTTCTGATCTCCTTCCACTCAAGCCCCTGTCAAAGAAAAACAGCCAAGGGGGCAGTCAGGAAAAACAACAGAGGTCGTAAAACTTCTAATCTAAACAACTAGCAGCAACCTAGTTCCAGGTGTGATATCTGATTTACGGTCTGAGCCCGGATCAAATCTCGGTCAAGCTGTTAACAAAGAGGGAGGATAAACAAGAGACAAAATACGACTGCTCACAGGCAGTTAGGAGGTATTCTGGTTGATAAGGATTTAAGGTCTGAGAAACACAGAGTTAACTGTCTCACATGAAGATGAAACAGACAGTCCTGACCTCCAGGTCAGTTTATACACACATAAGGAAGAGAACACTTTAATCTAAACATTACAACGATCTATAGACTGAATGTGAACTAAAGTAATAACAAAACGATAATACCGAAAATTCTCTAACATATAATATTAAGTCAAAGGCTTCTTTAAATTCACTAATGGCTGTTTTTAAAGCTAACAGCCATCACTATCTGTAATGATCCTTCGAAGAATTTGATTTAATATTAGTTACAAAGAGATTTAATTTCCTTTTGGAATCAATAAACTGTTTTTGAATTTGAATTTAAAAATATCAATAGAAAGAAAAAAAAATTGAAATTAATGAAAGATAATTAAAATAAAAGTTGTATTGGAATCAGTGTGAGCCCCACAGTGGCCTGAATCTGACGACCAACTTCTGCCTGGTTTGTTTCGTCTCTCTCTTTTATTTGGCCAAGACTTCCAGAACCACTTTGTGTCCAGACTTGGGTTTAATAAAAACCTCTCTGTTAAAAACATTCTCTGGTCTGGACTTTGTATTTTGTGTGTCCTGTGAGATGACATAAAGACCGTAACATATTGGGGGCTCATCATATTCCAAAGAAATGTTTAAAAATATATTTGGAGGGCCATTAAATGACGTGATATTTCTTTGTGGTGTCGTCTGAAAGTGTATATTCCATGTGTCTAGTAAAACCATTTTGAGTGGTATATTGAGAGTCATGTTTTTGGGGCATTTTTCGAACTCTTTAATTTAAATAATAGGGTAAATTTCCCTATATTTGACATTTGGCTGGTGCTTGTTTTTGGATAGCGTTTAGGAGCGTTTTTGTTTCTTTTTTTCATAAATTAGTTTTGTCATATTTTGTTTTGTCTCAACTAAAATGAGTTTAGTTTGAAGGAGTTTTTTATACAATCAGACTGTTGAGCAATTTGATTGTTGTCATAAGAATGGTTTTGTCAGTTGTAGCTCAGTTTTCCATTTCTGGATCCAGTTAAAAAAATGGAAAGATGAAATTCGAGATTGGCTCTGCTTTGATTAAACCTGATGTTTTCCCTCAAACCAGCTCTGATGCTGCTGTTCAGCATCATAACAGATTTTCCTCCCTGTCTCCTCAGACTGAGTGGCTGTAACCTCTCAGAGAGAAGCTGTGAAGCTCTGTCCTCAGTTCTCAGCTCCCAGTCCTCCAGTCTCAGAGAACTGGACCTGAGTAACAACAACCTGCAGGATTCAGGAGTGAAGCTTCTCTCTGCTGGACTGAAGAGTCCAAACTGCAACCTGGAGACTCTCAGGTAAAATGTTCTCAATGCTGATGTAACCAGACATCTTTCCATTACCTGCTGTCAGAAATTATGTAGATGTTATTTGAGAAGTTGATTATGATAATGGATGTCTTATTGTGAGATGGGCAACGTTGATGGGTCTCAACACATAAACATGGCTGGTTTTCCTTTAGTCCAGGCTGAAAGAACCAAGAAGTGATAATTTTAGAAAGGTGGGGTCAGGCTTCCTTCGATAGTGTAATTCTGGGCACTTGACAAATTGCTGCATCTTGGGTACAAATGGAAGCATAATTGCAGATCCTCCCTTCCAGCAGTTGTTTGGCTTTCTAATCTATTCTAGATGTGACAAATCCATCCATCCATTTTCTAACACGTTTCTCCCTAGTGAGGCTGTGAGGGATACTAGTGCCTATCTCCAATGGTCAATAGTCGAAAGACTATGGATAGGCTGCCAGTCCATCACAGGGCAACACAGAGAAAGACAGGATAAACAATCATGCACACACACACACTCTCAACTAAGGAGAATTTAGAGAGACTAATCAACCTGACAGTCATGTTTTTGGCCTGAGAGTAGACTGGAGTACCCAGAGAGAACCCACACATGCACAGGAAGAACATGCAAACTACATGTGACAAATGTTAATTTTTATTACCTAAAGAATGAAATGTAGTTTGATTACTTTTGATGTTATTAACATGTTAAGCACAATTATTTGACGTTTTTCCTCTCCTATAAATGTCCAGTTCAGACCTTGGGCTCTACCTCAATGTTCTCATCATGTGATGAATTGTGTGTCTGCAGCTTATCAGGCTGTTTGGTCTCAGAGGAAGGCTGTGCTTCTCTGGCCTCAGCTCTGACCTTTAACCCCTCCCATCTGAAAGAGTTGGACCTGAGCTACAATCATCCAGGAGACTCAGGAGTGAAGCTGCTGTCGGCTGGACTGAAGGATCCAGACTGGAGACTGGAAGCTCTCAGGTATGGAGGAACCTGCTGCAGGAGCAGAGAAGGTCTGATAGAGGAGGAAGAGGAAAAACGTCTTTAGTCTGATGGGAAACGTTTAGTTTGAAGAGAAATATTTAGTTTGTTAATTAAATATTTGGTTTGGAGCTGTGGCATTTATAAATGAATGGGTAACAAAGTAAAAAATTGACTTACTATTCTGAACCAGTGACACAGAGAAAGGAACAAAGGATGAGCAGCATCTAGAAAAGATCAACATTGAAAGAAACAAGTAGAGGAACTGATCTAAAATGTTTATAATTAATAGTCAGAGGTTTCTTCAAATTTCCTTTAAACATCAACAAGAGATCTTTTCTGCCAATAGCCATAATCATCTACTACATCTCTTTGAAGAATTTGAATTAAAATAAGTTAAAACATTTAATTTCCCTTTGTGATCAATAAAGTCATTTTGAATAGCAATAGAAGGAATGATGAATGTGGTGAAATAAACTAGAGATAATTGTTATAAACATTAGATTACAATCAGTGTGAGCCCCACAGAAGCCTGAATCTGACGACCAACTGCTGCCTGGTCTGTTTCTTCTCTCTCCCTTTTATTTAGCCAAGACTTTCAGAACCACTTTGTGTCCAGACTGGGTTTATTAAAACCTCTCTGTTGGAAACATAATCTCGTCTTGACTTTGTATTCTGTGTGTCCTCTGTGATGACATAAGGACTGTATCATATTGGAGGCTCATCCTATTCCAAAGTAATGTTTAAAAACATATTTGGAGGGCCATTCAGTGTTGAAATATTTTTAGCTCAGTTATGCTTGTGGTGGCTTCTGAAAGTTTGTTTGCTATGTCTTTGGTAAAACCTTTTTGAGTGGCACCTTTAGTGTCAGGTTGCAGGGGTGTTTCAAAAGCCCATACATTAAAAGCTACGGTAAATTTCCCTTTGTTCAACTTTTCTCATGTGCTAATGTTTAGTTTTATGTCGTGAAGTGTTTTTTTCTCATCCTCCATTAGTTTTGCCATAATCCTCTTTTCTCAAACAAAATTTAGTTTAGATTGTGGGAGGTTTTGGACAATCCTACTATTGAGCAATTAGATTGTTGTACAAAGGAACACCTTTTGTCAATTGCTGCTTAGTTTTAGATCTCTGCATCCAAACAGTTAAAAAATAGAAAGATGGAATCTGAGATTCTCTCTGCTTTGATTGAATCTGCTGTTTTCCCTCAAATCAGCTGTGATACTGATCCTCAAACTAAACCTGATGCTGATCTTCAGCCTAGCCTTGATTATCAGGTTTCCATTGGACTCTTTCTGTTAAAACTGACACTGAATTAATTTAGGTCATAGAGGAATTTTATATTTCTCCTGCCAGCCTCCTTGTTGCCTGTTGTTCAGTCCTTTATGGTTAGAAGCCCATCTTCACAATGAAAGGCAAGATAAAGACATATAAAATAAAGCAATTACTTAAACCTCTACAAGAAGAACATTATTGACTGGAAAGAAAGACATACATTTTGATGAACCTTTTAATAATTTTCCTCTCTGTCTCCTCAGATGTTACATATTAAAGCAGCAAAACTTAGGGCATTGTGGAATTTAATAGTTTTGTTGCCAGCCTTTTTGTTATTT